TGGTTATGGATTTGCTTAAATAAAAGCACATAAGATATTTCTCTCATAATACTAAGAGTGCATAATCTTTTATTGACACTCAATTGCCCTCGTAAAATTGATTACCACTTCTGATGACCGACTGTGCTAGATCTAAAACTTCTAGACCTATAAATCTGGTATCAAAGAGTGGAATACTTATACATAGCATCCTTGGTGTCTCAAGTCTAAGGACTGGACACACAACTAGGACTACGTAATTACTATTTGACGATGAGGTATAATTAATTAACCTGCATTTCGTAAGCAGATAATTCAGTGAACTCATTCTCTAATGAACATCTACACTATATCCTTAGTGCCCCCACATAAGTAGCTATGAGACTAACTGAATTTATCATGTGGATGGGTGTAGAGCACACTAGTCTGTCCAGTTATCTTGACATCCCTCTCAAATAACTTATGATAGGAAATATTTATTGTTTATATTTATAGAAGAATTAATCTCTTATAATGATCTCATCATAATCCAAGGACATCACAATATATATTCATCATTAATATAAAGTAATAAAATGACATAATAATAATAACTAAAAAGATCGTGCAGCGTATCACATGTGTCATCACTCACGTGATTGGCTTATAGGGCACCTGTAATTAGTAATTTTAGATGAGAAGGGATAGCGATTGCTAGTCACATGAGTGATGACATGTGTGACATGACAAGCACTCTTTATGATTATTATTTATTTAATTTTTTTTCACTTTATATTGTCTATTGTATATTTTGTGATATCCATAGATCTGTGCAATAAGAATTGAATCATGATGATATCACGATAATGAGACTAATTCATCTTTAAATATATATCCTAAATAATCTCAATTATAGATCACTCAAGAGGGACATCGAGATGACCAAATAAACTAGTATGTTATATACCCGTCCACCCTTTGATATCAAACTTATAGACCTGAAACTTCCAAATCTAACACAACTTGTCATCGGGAGTGATAACTAACCTTATGAGAGCTATTGAGTATCGATAGAGGATTATCCACTCTCGGTATCATGAGAGGAATATCCTATATATTTTTGCTAAGGCAAATCCATAGTGAGGGTCATTCAGATTGAAAGAGAAAGAGTTCTATGATAGAATCTGATTAGAGCGAGCCTTGAGTAGAAACCGTATGAGCCTGATAACACCATGCCTGGTATATGGTCTTTAGGATATTAGATAGATGAGGGACTATAGATACATGGTAATTGAGGACAAACATGTCTAATAGATTGGATTTTCTTTTATCATATGGGGACTACGACGTAGTGGCCTAGTACATCTGTAGTCGATGAATCGAGTAAATAATTATAGAGATAATAATTCACTAAGCCAGAAGGAGTTCTAACAAGTATGACTCATGGCTAGCTTGATATTGAGCCTAGAGGATCACACACATATGGTAGGTGTTACAAAGAGTAGAAGTTCATATATGAGATATTCGCTAGAGCCCCTATCTTATTGGATATCCAAATAACCCCCTAAATTATTAGATCATATATATAAGATTTTATAAGAGCCAATGAGAGATTATTGGGCAGAGATCCACTAATCTAAGAAGCTTGGATAGTTGGATAGAGATTTAGTACCCAATAGGGCATGATCCATTAATGTTAAGTTGACATGGGGCCTATATAAATAGAAGAAAACCAAAGGGCATAGACTAGACTTTTTTAGCTACCACCTCTTATTCTCTTCTCCCATTTTTCTCCTCAACAATAGCCCCAATTTGAGGCATGTGGAGATTTGGACAACGATTTGAGGAGCATCTTCGTAGCCCCTACCGTGTGAATCACCGTTAGAGAGGAGAATACTTGACATCCTTCATCCTCTCTTATAGATATACAGGATTTCAGGGATATACAATATCCCTATATAAGATATATTTCTTATACGTGCAGTTTTTTATTTTCCAACTTTTGCGTGCTAATCTTCGCACAACGATAAGACCTCTTTAGAGGAATCTGAGATTTTTTTTTATTCTTTTGCTGCACATGTGATATCACCCCAAGATTTTTCCTACAGTGATGATGAGAGGTGAGGGTTGTTTTGCGTTTGTTTCGACGTCGACGCAATTGTCGACTAGTCTTTTCGTCGCTCTGCTTCTATGTCAATACAATTGTTGAGTAACGAAAGGGCCACTCAACATCTATATCTACATCGATATCGATGCAATTGTCAAAAGGCCCTTTCATCACTTTGTATCTATGTTGGTACCAAAACAGATGTTGAACGACCCTTTTATTGTTCGATAACTATATCGATGCGTCGCTCGACAACTGCATCAGTGCCAATGCAGATGCAAAGTGATGTCGCTATGCTTTTACGTTAAGACCGATGCAAATGCCAAGCGACTCTTTCATCGCTCGACAATTGTGTCGACGCGTTGCTCGATAACTACGCTAATGCCGACACAAATGTAGAGCGACTCTTAGCTCTCGTTGCCACTCTCTCCCTTTATCTACAACAATTACCCGTGGCCCTTAATGGGATCACTCTGTCACTATCAACTTCATTTATCATTACGAATTGATCATTAAAATTATTTTTTTTATTTATTATTTTTATATTTTTACTGGTAAAATTGATAGTGTTAGATAAATGGAGCTAGATATTTTACTTTCATAACTATATAAATTTCAATGTAAATTTTTTGAATAATTTCTATCTTTGTCCGTAGAGAGATTTTTTTAAGAGATTCACTCACGTTGATTCTGTATGCAACCACCTCAACTCAATTAAAATAAGCCTCATGATAAATATATTTATTAATAAAAAGAAGGGGAAAAGCACGTAAATGATATCTAGTGGGAAACCATACAAGATAAAAAAAAAATAAATGTGAGTAAAGTGGAATAGGAAGGAAAGAAATAAATGATAGTTGGTCAGCAAGAAACCTTTTGACTTTGGAAAGAGAGTTTATAGGAACTGTAAATTGGGTAAATATAAAATAAAAAATAAAAATAGTAAAGTGCTTCCTACAAGGAAAACGGGATAATTATAAAGTAACTCCTATAATTAATTATTTTTTATATTTTAATTTTTATATTGGTATATCGATTAAAAAATAATTTTATATGAATAAAAATAAAAATTTTATTAAAGTAATGAGATTAAATGTTTCACTTTCGTATAAAAATTTTAATATAACTTTTAAAACTCTCTAAAAAAAGAGATAATTTATAGCTGCTATAAAATCTTATTTTATCAAATCGGATAAAAGAGTAAAATAGAAAATATGTTAAGTCAAGCGTGTATCCATTCCAATTTATGTGTTTGGATCACCGAAAGAAACCAAAAAGTCTGCCCCTTTATGCTCAAACAACTTTGGCTCGGTCTCAAAGTGGAAATCAAAGATTGTCTTAGGTTCAATAATCATCATGCATACGTCTTCGGTTCCGAGTCCTCATCCCGATTCCAGCGCTCTCCCAAATGTATTCGTGTCGTATATAATGAAAAGAAGAATCGCCGGTAGCGGAGGTAGAAACCACCATGCACAGCCCCGATTGGACGTCGCTCCCACCGGATCTCCTCGCAAAGATCAGCGAAGAGTTTCCCATCCCACATCGTGCTCGCATCCGTGCCACATGCAAGGATTGGCATTCTGCAATGGTTCCCGTGATCAGCCCGTCCCCGTGGCTTTTCGTACCCGACGACGACGGTGAGCAGCACAATTCTACCTTTTTTTCTCTCCCCGACAAGTGCTCCTTCACCTACCCCCCTCTCCCCGAGCTCTGCGGTATGACGTGTGTCGGCTCCCACGCCGGTTGGTTCGTGATCACCGATTGGAAGCGAAAGGTCAGCCTCCTGAATCCGCTTACGGGGAATCATGTCAGCCTCCCTTCCCACGTCGCCCGATGGAACGTCGACCGAGTTGACCTCCAAGAATTCAATCCTAAGAGCATTGGAAAGATTGTCTTCTCCTCAAACCCTACTGTCCATAACTATGTTGCCGTGGCTATCTGTAGATTTACAGATTGGGAGCTCACCTACACGAAGTCGGGCGATGACAAGTGGAATCTTCTTGAAACGGCATTGACCGAGAACGATCGTTCATACAAGGACATCGTGCATCATGATGGCAAATTCTACTGTGCAACGCACGAAGGTGCAGTCGTAGCTTTTGACCTAAGTGGCGTTAGCCCCTCTGTGACGATGGTTGCCCAGAGTTCAGCACTTGCAAGTATCATCCCCGTGCGTACTTACCATATATACTTAGCATGGACGAGCACAGGGGAGCTGTTCCTGGTTTTGAAGCTTGCAATCCACTTGGTACTTCCAGATGATCTGCAAAAATCAAAGGATGTCATCGTTCTCAGGTTGCAATATTCCGAGGACCAGCCTAGTTGGGATGTTGTGAAGGACTTGGGGAATATGTCTCTATTGGTGGGCAACAACAATTCTATTTCGATTTCTACCAAGGATTTACGAGGAATGCGAGGAAATTGTATCTATCTTACGGAGTTCTACTCGACGGCGTCCTCTGAATGGATGCTAATTGTGCGTAAAGCTAGAGTGTTTGATCTGAAAAAGGGAAGGTGGCAGTGGTTACATTCATCGACAATTAATCTGCCACACACCAGGATAACTCCTGTGTTCTTCCAGCAACCCTTCTGGTTCACACCCTCGCTGCTGTAAATGAAGAAACCAAGTAGCTTTCTTTTCGCAATTGCTTTTAAGTTCATGAGCAGTGGATGCCTATTGCTCTTTTGCACTTACACCCAAGTTTTGAGCGTTTAGAAATTTCATTATGATCTTAACACTCATTGTTAGTAATTTCAACCACTACGCAAAGTGCTGCTATCTGATGAGATAACCATCAGAGATGAATTTATAAAATAATATGAATTCCACATAAAATAATATGATTTCATCAATTATTATGGTTAACAACATCATGTGTTTAATACCTTGTCATTACTAGGAACAGACTGCTTCACATGTAAAGAACATTACAAGTAGTTTTTTAAAGCTTTAAATTTTGGTAGAACTGTCTTTACCAGAATCAAGAAGCATGTCTGACGTAAGGGCCATTGGGTCGTTGTCTAGAGATTACAATTGCAACATAAAAGAAAACAAACACAAGCAGTTTTGGTCAGAGATCTTAGTAATAAATATAGCCCGAGTTTAGTAGCCATGAGCACGCACAGGTGTCGAACATGTTGCTGTATAATCTGCTCATGCAGCTTTCAAGCACTACTAACAGTGGCCGGGAAGCTGCCCTTAGAAGAAGCCATCCAGGAGGTTGCTCTTGAAATTACCAGTAAAATTAGTTGCATGCTGCACTCAACTAGATACAAAAGAAACCTTTCATGCTTCATCTTGCCAATGGATGCTTGATCACCCCACGACTTTCGTCCAAAATGAAATTGCTACTTGTGAAATGTGCACTGGAGAAGAATGGCTTCAGATCATAGATTTCGTATTCCTGGGCCTGCCCCAACCAAAACTCAGCTTAGAGAACATTGAACTCAACTGATCAATTGACCTAGTGGATGTTAGAGGAAAACAGGAAAGAATTTTGTTCAATATTTACCTTGTTTCTTAGCTCTTCCACCTTCACCTCGATGTGTGTGAGACGAGCAGTTGTCCCAGATACAATTTCTTCAAAGTGCAATGCATCCTTCACAAGTATACGCAGAAGATGCAAGAGCAATTCATTGAAATCCTTCTTGAATGTCATGTATTTCCTATAACTCTGCAGCAAATAGCACAAAACTTATTCAACCTCCTGGAATGTCAGTCGTCCAATAAAGAAAGCACCACTAAATTTAGGCACCGAGTTGAACTTGTTTCAAAGGAGAAAAGATACCACATGCTAAAGATAATACAACACTAACACTAGAATGCAAAAACAAGTGGAAATATACGGTCATCATACGACGATGCATTCACATAAGTGGAAACTTTAGTACAGATAATATTATTCAGAACTAATTTGGAATTCAATCACTGATGTAGTCAAGGAACAACTTTTGGAGCTGCTAGAACATCTGATAACTGTAGCACGAGCTAAAGAATCTAGAAGAAATTGGTAGTACTATTTAAGTTTTCACCTGGAAGCGGGGAAAGATAACAATTTCAGTTATACCTTTTGTAAAGCCTTTTGCACACCAAATTTCTGGCTGGAGATAAAAGAATCAAGCAGGACGCGTATTGCCATGTCCTCATCTTCTTGGCAAACATAGTTACGCAAGTGCATTCTTGCATGTGCTTCTGACATTCGAATCATCGACTCAATGTGCCTCACTGCTATTCGAATTCCTTGACCATGCTGCAGCACTCATGAAAAGGCGCATCGAATATGAACATATTACACTTAACAGAATGTAGCACTTGTATAATAGCATATAAATTACTAAGTTGCCCAGTGTCTTACAGATGATTCTCGACGTATGTCAGCATAGACATGTTTGAATTTGTCTAAATCAGCATCATGCAACTTAGGGAAGACATTCAGTTTAGCATATGTTATATACTTCTTGAGCATGTCTTGAGAAAGAATCTGGTTGTGAAGCATTTTGTCATATTGAATTCCACAAGTTCCAGATTACAAAATGGAATAGGAAATGATACCTCCGGGTCAACTGGTCTGGAAGAGGCAAGTTCATCTTGAGTATTGCTTGCAGGCTGATCTTCAAGAGTAGCACCCTTTGGCTGTGATTTGGCATGGCTGTCCACGACAAATCTTGCAAGCATTTCATCAGTGACAGGATCAACAATATCCTACAGCCATATTTCCTTTTAGCCAATGCTAGCAGCTTGACTTAACCAATGATCTTACTTAAGTATAAAATTGGAGATGGAATAGTGACCTTAACAACGCAAAGGATATCAAATCGTGATATGATAGGATCAGTCAGCTCTACATTTTGGGTAAAAGTCTTCGATGAGTCATATCTGAACATGCAAATCTGTTAGCACTCAGCTAAAAATATACAAGTCATATCCCATGATGAGTCACTATTACCTTCCTCCTACTGGATTTGCTGCAGCGATGACGCTGCACCTGGCCTGGAGTGACGTAACAATTCCAGCCTTTGATATACTAATGCTCTGTTGTTCCATGGCCTCATGGATACTCACTCTGAAATTCAGTTGCTTCCAAATCAACAAATAAAACAAGAGGATCAAGAATATGTGACTGAATCCAAGCAAAAGAAAATTATTAACCTGTCCTGATCATTCATTTTGTCAAACTCATCTATTAAGCAAACTCCTCTATCAGCCAGGACAAGAGCACCTCCTTCAAGGGTCCATTCCCTTGTTACTGGGTCTTTGTGAACTGCTGCAGTAAGTCCAACTGCAGAAGCTCCTTTACCTGTTGTGTAAACAGCTCTATGGCCTGTCTTTTCAACATACCTATACAATATATCTTTAAGTATTGATATAAGCATAGCAACGAAAGACAGGTAGGCGTGTTTCAAGGAAAAGTCTTACTTAAGGAATTGGGATTTTGCAGTTCCTGGATCACCCAGTAGGAGTACATTTATATCACCCCTTAACCGATGTTTTCCTTGGACAATCTTTTCTTGTCCTCCAAACATCGCAAGTGCAATAGCCATCTTAATATCTTCATGACCATAAATCGATGGTGCAATAGATTTGACGATCTGCAAATTCAGTTGTAGTTGTTAAAAGAAAATGTATTGTGAGGACAGAAAACACAAACACAGAACTGTCTAACAAACCCTTTCTCCAATCCTTGGATCCTTGGCCAGCTTCTCAATCTCTGCTTTGTCCTCATCTGTAAGTTTGTAGGCAGAGAAAAGGTCTTGCTTTTTGGTAACATAGTTTGCTTCAACCACGGTGGCAAATACAGGAAACCCATTCTTAGTATTCAAAGATAAGTCAAAATTGTTTGTATATATGCCTGTAACCTCCTGAAACAATAACATGAGATAATCAGCAGTTAATCATTGGTTTCATAGTTAAAGGTCAAACAATATAATAAAGCAAATAAAAATTACAATTTCTTCTCCAGGACGAGCACAGTCAATCAAATCATTTAAAAGTATCACTTCCTTGTATCTTGGAAGTCTACCAGCAGGCACAATTCCAGGACTTTCCTGAAGGGTAAGTTTCTGATAATTCCTGTATATTGTCTGTAATGAAGAATAGTTAGTCAACTAACGTGAGGCTTCAAGCCTTCAAATTATCAAATTATGATGCAAGAACTTGCCAACTCATTAGACTAACTAGTATCGAAAGGTTTAACATGATTACTGTTTGCAGAGATACCAAAAGAAAATTCAAATAGGAATTACCTGTTCAACATTGATAGTGAATGGTCCTTTTGATTGGCATTCAGGACATGAGCCCACTTTAACTTCTGAATATGAGTTCTGAAAGAAAGGGCCAAGAATAGCCCCGCATTTGTTGCAATCATATTTTACCTGTTGTAACTGAGGAAAAACTCCAGATCGCCGAGTAACAACACCTCCTATACGAATCATTGTGTTCAGATGAATCTGCCTGGTGTGTACCAAATTGCATATGCATCAAAAGCATAGAACCTCAAGTGAATAAAAATCAATAGACTCGATTGCTATTCCACAATGAATTCAAAACCTACCTAATGTTACGTATCTGATCATATACTGGCAGATTAGTTATACGGACAAAAATTTTCTGATGAATGTTTTTGTAGTTCTTGTGCATATCAAAGACAACATTCTTGGCAACTTCTTCCATAACTTCAAGCACTGACTGTGGTGCATCAGCCAACCATATAGCAATATTTGCCTCAGTGTAGATGAATTGCTTGTAATCTATCTCCAGACTGCACTTGTTAGCTGAAATAAAAATATGAGAATACATACAACTAGGAAATATTATTTTAAAGAGGCATGATAACCTAACAACTGAATGTACTGGAAAGCTAGATTATTAGCAATAGATTAAGAAATTACCTAAAACCATCTCATTAATCAGTCGAACATATTCAATGTCTCCATGTTCATTCTTAGGATTCACGTAAGTAAGAAGAAAATCTTTAAATTTCTTTGCGATAAACCGACGAACTTCATCTCTTGTGACCCATTCCCTTAGAGTTCCTTGGACATGACACATAATATCATCTTCACCATCATACTCATCCTATCACAGGCAATGCATTCAGTCATTGCAGAACAAAGGTAACTTGTAGATAGCATGAATGTCTTTAAACTAAAGGTAAATTAACATAGAAGGACATCATAGTACCTCATATTGGTCATCATCCGTTTGATCAGTGACTGGCACATCGTCTCTTGAGTGTCCTCGTTGGAACCTTCCTGGTGAGCTTTGTGTTGAACCCTCAGTGTCATCTTCACTTCGTCCACCAGCTGGTGGCCTAAAATCAGCCCTGAATCTTTTTGGACGTCTAAAGTTGATATCATCATCCATGTCTGCAACAGAAATATGATGTTTTAAAACCTGGGCTCATTTCTACCAATTCAGATGATGCATCTGACTACGTAGGTGCAAGATAAAATAACGGAAAACCAATAGAAACACGCTTTATTATAGTCTTAAAATAAAAATCCAATGCATGTGGGCGACAGCTTCCATGTGCTCCAGCCAAAGCATATAACAATAGCTTAAAACAAAGTGGATACTAAAAATAAATAAATTTGCATTTCTATAGATTAGTTTGCAAATGTCCAAGACTGCAAAGTTGATGAATTGTGACAAATGGTTATCATCATGGACATCATGTAAAAAGCCTTTTATTTTACAGGAATTGTCTGTTCAATCAAATGAGACCAGATTCAAATAATCTGTCTTTTGGCAACCAAGACATTGGCAGAATCCTCCTCGATCTGATGACAGTAGACAATGCAGGTATTCTCAGGAAGCAAAAGTTTGCATCATAATAATTGCAAGCGAAGGTGAGTCACAGGACAATCGAAATATGTATGGAAATTTTAATTTAGGCAAGCCTGCTTTTGGAAGAAATTTAGGCTGAAGCATTTCTGGTAGATCTATGGTAAGTAAACATGAAATAATTGTATGATGTAGTCCATGTTTGAGATTTGCCAATTTTATGATGTGATACACATGTATGCAAGATTTAGCTTTTGCATCATCACACATCACTGAAGCAACACTTTAGAAGTCCAAGACGAGAACAGAATCAGGAGGTATAATTAGAAGTCCAAGTACACTAGCAGATATCTAAGGATGGAAATAATTGGAACAGAGGAATTCTCATGTTAAGATGCATGACCAAAAAAGGCTGATTTGCTGAAGGCATTAAAATCAGAAGATTTTCATGATAGATATCTTATAACTGTTCTCGGATTCTTTAGTTGCTCTTCACTAGCATGTCATGCAAATTAGCTCAATCACCTTATACAGTGAATTATAACAAGACATAACATAGATGCAATCACCAAAATCATAGATAATATAGCTATTTTGATGATATTTACCCCTCACTACAAAAACCCACTGTCAAAGTCCACCAAAAGCAATATAGGATGTCATGAAGTTTATGCTGTTCAGAATTAGCATTTCCATCTGAAGTTAATGAACACCTATTGACATCATCAGTTCCATTTGCAAATCCTCTCTGAAAAGTGTCTCTAAACATACCACTCAGTGGCTGATTCCCATCACGTAAGCAGTCATTGGCTGACCACTCCAATGTTGGAAATTAACTTAAATTTAAAATAGTATTATAAAGTGTATTGAATTAGAAAAAGACAAATAATTCATCATCGAATTTTTCTTGACACCATGGAGAAAGTTGTGAACGTATGCCCACCAAATGTGCATTGGTCCAAAAGATCGGTACCTTGATCGTAAAGCATCTGGGGTAATTTCCGGTCAAGGATGCCACCATTGCGGCCATCCCTCACATCAAGTTCCACCTCTGCCGCCCTTCTGTCGGCCATGATTTGGTCCAGATCCCTCTCATCCTCCATGGAGTCGTCCATCCCCACCGTCTCGTACCGGTCTTGATCATCCATCCGACGGTAATCTCTGTTCCCCACCAACCCCATCAGCACTAGCATCGTCAAGGAGAAAACGAACATCAAAAGTTTCACAAAGATTATCTGCGATGCTCACTCCATGTAGTTGTCATTGTACAGATCCTCGCCTTCCTCGTCCTCCTTGTTACCATCGCCGTCGCCACCGTCGTCGTCCACAAAGACATGAGGGTCGACGGCGGCCTCGTCATCGTCAGAGTAGGAATCGGTTGTGCGGCTCGTGTTATGAGGCAGCCGATCAGTGCTGAACCCCGCCGAGGCCGGCGATCCGGGGGTCGACGGTGGGTTATCCGAATTATCCTACGGGAAAGAAGATGCGAAATAAAAAGAAAAGAAGAGGATGACGAGACCTAATCGCCACAGAAACTTGAACGGTTCGAAGGACTCACCATAGGATCTGAAAGCGCCTTCTCCTTCTCCTTCTTCTGGAGCAATTAGGAGGGATCCCAACTAGGGTTTGCGGTGGGTGGAGAAGGGGAACACGAAGAAAAGAGAGAGATTTGGCGGGAACTTCTTAGAGCTTCCCGCGCTGGGAGGTGGGGTCGCTGCTTAAACCGAACGCATGAGGCGAAATCTCACATCATTTTACACCCACATGATTTGTCACTGGCTCGTGGGACCCTTTCATAATGCCAGTTACCGTGTGGGTACTAAGTTGAGGATGTAGCTGTTGGTCCTTCATATAATATTATAAGAATCGACCAACACTCCATCACTCCTTCGGATATGTGATGCTAAATAATTTAATAATGCTTTTTCCATGTTATAAGATTTTATTTAATATAAAGAATAACAAATGATTCTAATCAAGTTGAATTAATCAATGGGCAGTTTAGTGTTGGTTAAAATATTATTTGTTTTCAATTTTGAAGTTATTTTTTGAAGAATTTGTTGAAGAAAAGGTAAAGGAAGTGACAAAAAATGTAAGTAATTAATACATATAAAGTGTCAAATACAACAAATAAATGTCATGTTAAATACTTCCTATCTATGACCTCCCCTCGAATTTGGTAAAGTGATTCAAAACAATTTATAAAGCTTAAAATAAATTAGTCAAGATGGAATTTTAAGCTTGTATATAAAATATAACAATCAACCAAAGAATAAATACAGGGAAGTAGATGGTAAAAGTCAAAATAATAGAAGTCAAGTCATAATTTTGAGCTATCATGACTCTAACATGATTGGTGAAAAGAGTCATGTTATTGAGTTATGAGATATTATATTAAATAAGATATGAGGAATCCGACATATAGATAATTATATTCAACATATAGATAATTATATTCAACATTTGGTCATGCATTAGTCAAGTGGATCATGTGGTCGTCACCATGCATGCATGGCCATCTAGAGACACATTTCTAAAATACCACTCAATCGATCACCCAATCAACCGACCATTTTGGTAATTGATCGATGCTATCTAAGTATTAATACATTAAGCAATGTTATTTTGTTATCGAGATCATGTCACAAGAACAAAAAATATATTTATATTTATATTTTTTAGAGCTTTAAATTAAAATAACATATTTGTATTAAGATCGATAAGTATTATTTTTAAATTTTTTAATTATATTCAATTTTGTAGGAGAATTTTAATTAAATTAAATTTTATTAGTGAATTAAAATTTATTTTTCTAAATAAATCTTGAGTCTTAATATTTTGATGAGAGAAATAAGATACTCCTAAAGGTAATCTACAAGGGTTTCTAAAGAGAGTTGAAAAAAATTTCTTTTGAGAGAGTACACAAGGAGAGTCATACTTAAATGAAAATAGCTTAATGATCCTATAATTGATCTTGTAAATCAAAGATTTTAATTTTCTCCATCCATGTAGCTAGAAGTTGTTAAACTACATTATATTTGGCTTTTTGGTATGTTTCTGATTTATTGATCTCTAGTAAATTTCTAATTTTGTTTTTTATTTTTCTCCTCCCAACAAAGTGGTATTATAGTCAAAAGATCCAAAGGTTCAATAATGATGTCATCGATTATTTGTAGTGGTTTTACTATAGAGAAATTTAATGAAAAAAATAATTTCACGTAGAGGAGAATGAAAGACCTTATGACTAGGAAAAAAGTTAAAGAAGTTTTAGCATCTTATGACTAGGAAAAAGAAAAAATCTTGAAATATGAATAGTAAAATATTAGCTACTTAGGACTGATGTTGACGAAAGTGATTTTTTAGTAAGGATGGACTCAGCATGATAAATTGAGATCAAGAGTCATGTCTTTAGGTAATGTTCAATGTTATAGATGCAAAAAGCATATACATATATAGCAAAATTATTCAAGGAAAAAAATAATAAGAAGAGACCAATGAGTGCTCTATTGTAATGGATGGTGATGAAGATATCCTCACAATCTCCTAAGATAACATTATATTTTTTCAGAAGAATTAATTTTTAAAATTTATTTATTTATATTATGTTTGTACTCAAAATATTATTTTGATTTAATGAATGATGAGATGACTAGTAAGTTGAATTTGGATGATGATTCAACGATAGAAACTTATAAAGTGAAAATCAAAATGATTGATGTAGTTGTGGAGGATATGACTTGTATTCTAAACATATAGAAGAATCAGTCTTTTAGATTCCTAGGATTATGACTTAAGATTAGAAGTGAAGTTCTAAAAGTTATATCAAAGATTATATCGTGAAAACACAATAAAGACATCAAAGGACCGAAAACATATTATGGCTTAAGTTGAGTAGCCATGAGTATGCACAGCTGTCGAACATGGTGCTGTGTGACCTGCCCTTGCAGCTTTCAAGCACTACTAGCAGTGGTCTGGAAGCTGCAGTGAGAAGAAACCATCCAGTAGGTTGCTCTTGAAATTTCCAGGAGAAGAAGTTGCATGCTACACTCAACTACATACCAAAGACTTTCATGCTTCATCTTGGCAATGGATACCTGATCACCCCACGTGTTTCGTCCAAAATGAAATTGCTACTTGTGAAATGTGAACCGGAGAAGAATGGCTTCAAATCATAGATTTCATATTCCCTGGCCTGCCGCAACCAAAACTCAGCTTAGAGAACATTGAATTCAATTGATCAATCGACCTAGTGGGTGTTAGAGGAAAACCGGAATGAATTTTGTTCAATATTTACCTTGTTTCTTAGCTCTTCCACCTTCACCTCGATGTGTGTGAGATGAGCGGTTGTCCCTGATACAATTTCTTCAAACTGCAGTGCATCCTTCACAAGAACACACAGAAGATGCAAAACTAATTCATTGAAATCCTTCTTGAATGTCATGTACTTCCTGAAACTCTGCAGCAAATAGCACAAAACTTACTCAACCTCTCTTCGAATGTTATTCATCCATTGAAGAAAGCACCACTAAATTCAGGCACCAAGTTGAACTTGTTTCGAAGGAGAAAAGACATTACATGCTAAAAATAATACAACACTAACACTTAAGTTAGTATAGATAATATTATTAGGAACAACTTTTTTGCAGCTACTAGAAAATCTGATAACTGTACATCAGCTAAAAGAATCTGGAAGTTCCCACATCCCTAAAAAAAGAAAAGGGAAGAAAAGCCAAATTTTGCTTGGTTGGTGCTGGAATATATTTTCTATAATAGTAGGATGTTAAACAGTAGATAGATGTTTTGTTCAACAATATCTAAGAGAATAAAAATCTCAATAACCTCTGGGGTTCTCCAGCCTTGAAAAAGTTATTAAGAATAAGGAAAAAAACCAAATGATCTACACAAGCTAGTAAGAATATAGTCATGCAAACAAAAGAACAACCAAAGGAGAAGCCTAAGCAATGTGTTTTTCCCTTGCATAATAGAAATAACCATAATTCATTCCAATCCAAAATAAACCTTAAAAGTAGGAGCTAGGACATTGTTAAACACAAGATATTGTGGACCGGCATACATGAGGCAGAAAAAGATTTGTCAGAAGTCCAAATTCAGAAGGACTATCTTTAGAGGTCAGCCACTTCCATTTAATACTACAGGCATAAATGCAGGCTCAGTGTCATGGAGAAAGCACTGCAGGTACACATTTGGTAGTACTATTTAGGTTTTCACCTGGAAGCTGAGAAAGTTGAGAATTTTTGTCATACCTTTTGTAAAGCATTTTGCACACCAAATTTCTGGGTGGAGATAAAAGAATCAAGCAGGACGCGTATTGCCATGTCCTCATCTTCTTGGGAAACATAGTTCCGCAAGTGCATTCTCGCATGTGCTTCTGACATTCGAATCATCGACTCAATGTGCCTCACTGCTATTCGAATTCCTTGACCATGCTGCATCACTCATGAAAAGACTCATCAAATATGAACATATTACACTTAATGGAATGTAGCACTTGTAGAGTACAATTTAAATTACTAGGTTGCCCAGAAGTCTTACAGATGATTCTCGACGTATTTCAGGATAGACATGTCTGGATTTGTCAAAATCAGCATCACGTATTTTAGGGAAGACATTGAGTTTAGCATATGTTATGTACTTCTTGAGAATGTCTTGAGAAAGAATCTGGTTGTGAAGCATTTTCTCAGACGATATTGAATTCCAAAAGTTCCAGATTCCAAAAAGGAATAAGAAATGATACCTCCGGGTCAACTGGTCTGGAAGACGCAAGTTGATCTTGAGAATTGCTTGCAGGCTGTGATTTGGCATGGCTGTCCACGACAAATCTTGCAAGCATTTCATCAGTGACAGGATCAACAATATCCTACAGGCATATTTCCTTTTAGCCAAAGCTAGCAACATGGCTTAACCAATGATCTTACTTGAGTATAAAATTGGAGATGGAATAGTGACCTTAACAACGCAAAGGATATCAAATCGTGATATGATAGCATCAGTCAGCTCTACATTTTGGGTAAGAGTCTTTGATGAGTCATATCTGAACATGCAAATCTGTTAGCACTCGGCTAAAAATATATAAGTCATATCCCATGATGAGTCACTATTACCTTCCTCCTATCGGATTTGCTGCAGCGATGACGCTGCACCTGGCTTGGAGTGATGTAACAATTCCAGCCTTTGCTATACTAATGCTCTGTTGTTCCATGGCCTCATGAATACTCACTCTGCAATTCAGTTGATCCCCGATCAACAAAAAAAAAACAAGAGGTTGAAGAATATGTGATTGAATCCAAGCAAAAGAATATTACTAACCTGTCCTGATCATTCATTTTGTCAAACTCATCTATTAAGCAAATTCCTCTATCAGCCAGGACAAGAGCACCTCCTTCAAGGGTCCATACCTTTGTTACTGGGTCTTTGTGAACTGCTGCAGTAAGTCCAACTGCAGAAGCTCCTTTACCTGTTGTGTAAACAGCTCTATGGCCTGTCTTTTCAACATACCTGTACAATATATATTTAAATATTGAAATAAGCATAGCAACGAAAGACAGGTAGAAGAGTTTCAAGGAAAAGTCTTACTTAAGGAATTGGGATTTTGCAGTTCCTGGATCACCCAATAGGAGTACATTTATGTCCCCTCTCAACCGATGTTTTCCTTGGACA